TCTTTAGATTTTCTACCTTTTTAATATTTTTATAAAGTTCATAACTACGGATTATTAACGGCGACGTTAGGCGCCCGACGATAATAATATTTATATAAAAAAAGAGATTATATTAAACTTAATTACTTATATAAGCTAGTATTAAGAGGTTCTATATATATTAAAAGAAGTAAAGCTCGCTCTATAAGTAGCTAGAACCTAAGAGGACTTTATATAGTAAAAGGTTAGGAGCTATTTTAATTAATAGTTAAGTATTTGTTTTAATATTCTGCCTTTGCTAGCTACTCGGGCGATTCTCAATATCGGTTACATAGTATTAATACACGGTATTAGTAAATACTTACACTATCTCGCTAAACTATTTTTTTAGATTTTCTAACTTATTTCCCTCTTGCGAAGTTTATAACTACGGATTATAAATAGCAATAGGCGCCTAATAGTTAAGTATAGTGCGCAATATACTTAGTTTTCCTTAATACGTAATATATAGTACGGCCCCGGTAAATTGCTCCGTCGGGGGGCTTAATAAACTATATTAATATTATATATTAATATTATATCCCTTTAGGGTCCGGTCCGCCTTATTAGGGGCCATCTTCGCCTTTACGGGTAAGCTAGTTTATTAGGGTTAATATCGAGTATCTTTATTATATAACAAACTTTATAACTAATAATAGCCGGCCATAGCCGTTACCGAATACTAACGATCCCGCCGTAACATATTAATCGCCCTCCGAATAGCCAAAAACCACCCCTTACTTTCTGCCTTATTTAATAACTTTAGAATAACAGCGAGAGAAGCAGCGTTTTTCGACTTCGATAAAAGAAATAAAGTAACGAATATATATATATATACGAGTAAAGTTAAAAGTACTAGGGTAGATATTATAAAGTTAGTATTATTCTTAACGATAGCGACGAGGGTATCTCTAATACTACCGTTATAAGTTACTATTACTTAAAAAAGTAGCTAACTTAACTAAGTACGCGGGCTTATAAAATAATAGCGCTTATTATTATCATTAATAATCTATAGTTATAAACTTTATAAGAGGGAAAGTTAAAAAGTTAGAAAATTTAAAAAAATAGTTTAGTAAGATAGTATAAGTATTTACTAATACCGTATATTAATACTATATAAATAATATTAAAAATCGCCCGAGTAGCTAGTAAAAATAGAAATAAAAAATAAATATTAATATTATATAAATAATATTAAAAACTACCTAAGTAATTAATAAAAATAAAAAATAAAAATAAATTAAGAAAATAATATTAAAAAATAAAATAAGAAGTATATTTTTTAATTTATATATTACTTTTATATAAATAATATTAAAAACCGCCCGAATAACTAGTAAAAGTAGAATATAAAAATAAATTTATTTTATTTTTTTTATTTCTAACTTTATTAACTACTTAGGCAATTCTTAATATCGATTATATAGTATTAATATATAGTATTAATAAATACTCCTACTATTTTAATAAACTATTTTTTTAGATTTTCTACTTTTTTAACTTTCCCTCTTATAAAGTTTTTAACTACGGATTATTAATAGCGATATATATAAAAATAAATATTTAAAATAAATTATTAGAATATAAAAGGCGAGGTAAATAGCTGAGCCAGCCGGGTTAATAGATGTTCCTATGTCCGCTAGATCGCTATATAAAGGAGTAACTAATCAAGGTAAAGTAGGGCCGGAAAGTAACTGACTCGTGCTATCAGATGCGGGGTTTCGAAATAAACTAAAGTCGACCGCCTCGTCTTGATCGTCCGTGCAAAGTCACTATGGAGGGGGGCCTTACAAGCATTCCCCCTCGTGAAGACAAAGGAGGAATTGACATTTGTTTCAAAAGCCTTGCAGCTACGGTAATCATGCTCTACCAGGAGCCTCGGTCTGGGTATACCAGTCACCATCTTCATCATTCTTAGCCACCCTTTGGACACTTCATCGTCCAACTGCTTCCCTCAACTGAACAACATCATGGTCAATTATTGGGCAATTATCGCATTTGGACTCTGGTCTATGATTGCGGCTTCACCAATCAAACCAAACGCTACGACCTCAATTGCCCCAAGATCCGGTTCTTCTAACACCGGCCGATGCTCATCAGATTGCGGCAAACGCAATTTTATTTTCACGTAGGCACCTAGAATCAGAAACTAGAGACGCTGTAGCCCCGTCACTCCCCTACACATACTGACACAATCGCTTTATAGAGGTCTGCCTTGGAATCATCCTGCTGTCGCAGCAAGTGGATATACCCCCAAGCAGGTGGAGGCCGGCATCCGGGCAGACATGGCAGCAATTATAAAGGCCGGCTATAACATCAAGGGTTTACTACTTTCCTATTACTGTGCTTCCATACACTAATTCGATCGTAGCTGTTCTTCTTGGTCCTGAAGATGGCTTGGACTTTCTTTCTGGTGAACTGAAGGGTGTGGACTGGATCGGAACGGGTGTTGGTTTCGGGGTTCGGGGGAATCCGACGCCAGTGATCACGCGCCGTCTCATGGGTTTGCTTTTCCTCTGGGTTAGGCATTGTGTCGTGTACTAACTTGCTAAACCTATAGATATTGTGCAACTATATCGCGATGAAGTGCCTCGGGCTAGGATTCTATTCAACTATTCCCCTATCACGTCTCTCTGGTCAATTCAACAGTACTACCCACTCTCTGCAGAATGCTCAAACACCAACGGAACTGATATGGTAGGACAATCACCCACGATCTGATGTTTTTCTAACTTACCAGAGAAAAAGGGTATTGCGATCCGTTGTCGTGCCTGCTCTCCTTCGGCTTAGCAGTGGGGGATTTAAGGGGACGACACTGTCCCAGAGATGGTCTAAGGACTACATCGTTTTTCGCTGTGTAAAATGAATAGTATGTTGACGTTGTGTTGGGAAATTCTCTAGTAGCTGTAATTTCTGGGCTACAGATTGAGCCAAAATAATTGAAAATCCGAAATCGAGCAAGGTTGTATCAATGGGCATGAATGTGTATTCAGAGCCTTGCGCACCGCAATCCGCTAGGTTCGGGCTGCATTTTTCTCCGGATTCCCTTCGCGCATCGAATTTTACTGGAAAGAAGCATGGGTTGTCTAAACGAACTTCGTGTTCTTCCTGTGTGACCAATAGAGAACTACGAAGAGCTCAGTGTCAGGTGTCTTAGCCCAGAAAAACACGAAAAAAGTTACATAGTGTCGATTCACCATGGCCACAGATATGACTGGCAAGACAAGAAAACGTCGATACAACTGCCAGCGTCGCCACTGGGGAACAAGAGGTATCGAGTTATGAGTATGCGGAAGCCTATATACATCTGACGATCGTATATATAGCAATGCTTGAAGGCTTCGACTGTGGCCGCTTGAAAGGTCTAGCACTGTATTGATACATAGATGCCCAGCCCGGCAAAGGCGTCAGCATCTGGACCTGGGCAGCATTATCCTGATTGAATAACGCGCACTGAAGTGAATTGGGAGCCACCGAGAATTATGAAAGATATCCGCTGTTGCTAAGGAGACACATACATAAGTAGGCAGTCGTGACAGCTAGCACACATACTTTCTTCGAGGATCAAGGAAAATTTTGAAACTGATAGGATCTAGACAATATCCATAGTACGAGTGCCTAGTCGGTTGGCTACATCTTACTCTATGAGGATGACTATAAGTAAGAGGAGACTAGGTCATGTTCTTTTCCTAATAAAGGCGAGTCGATACCGCTGCTTATTGGTCTTTGTGTATTGATTGACCCCGTAGGCCTTGTGACGGCGTATTCATATAGCTCAAAACCTGCTGAATAGGCCTGCGGGCAACATTGCGACGCTTCACTTTTGCTTATCGGGGCCAATTGTGAAGAGTAGGGGCTTGGCGGACCAGGTGATCAAACCAAGACCCTGGCAGTGAAGCTACCTTTGTTAGCGTGCTTGGGTAACCCAGCCTGTACTACGTACGGAAAATACTTCCCCTAGGCGCCCAGACACTTCGACCGGACGATGGCGGCCATCGTCGCAAAGGACAAAGTTACCTATCGTGACTGCATGGTTCCCCCGGGTACCCCAGGCGTCCGTAACTCCGCCTGTTGATAGTTGTGGGGTCTATGGCAGGGGGGTGCAAGCCATCTTATCAAAAACAGCCCCAGATGCTCACCTGCATGTACTCCGTACTCCGTACGAATATATATATCCGTGTCGTCTGACAGCGACTGATTGTACAGCCATCTCTCTCATGGCAAGCTTGAAGAAGCATATCAATTCAAGTGCTGGATGAGCACTACACTATTTTATCAAAACTGTATCCTCGTATTTGTGACTCACAAAGAATTTATTTTCTTCGATAACAAGGTACTCAGACAGCGACTGATTGCTGATCCGTATCGACCAGGGCTAGACAGCTGGGCTGACGTAGCACTCTATCTGGGAAGCGTGCCAAGTGCTAGGATGATTCAAGAAATGAACGCCGGACGCGGGGTGCAACCAATTATACAAGCCCAAATTTAACTAGTATGGGGCCAAGAATCTTGGTCCCTGTTCCCTTATCATCTATGTACATACTGTAGGCCCTGTCGCGATACGACATGGAAGAGGATTCCGTGCTATTTTCTAGGCAACGTCGGTGTTGGACTGTTTGTGCCGTTGCCAACCCACTTTGCCGTTCCCTTCGCTTTACAGGTATGCCTTGGCCGGTGTGGAGCTAGTCTGTGTCTGGAGTCTCGGTTTCTGGAGATACCAACCATTCAGCCCGATAACAGTCGACAAGCCTATTGTTGCTAGTCGTTTAACAAAAGCGACATCTTTCCCACTCATCCTGACGCTGATCTTCTTCCTCACTCCCCTTTCCTTCGTTCCGCAAAGCCTGCCAGACTTCATGTGTCGCAAACTTTACATGCTGCTGTGATTGAATCTTTTAATCCCACCCGTTCTTGGTTCATTCTTGTGGTACCGCTTAACGGCTGCGGCCTTCATTTCCCTTTCATCCGGTGCTACCACAATGAAGGAGTCGCATACAGAGAAGCACCCGAGCTCCGGCGACGCAATGACCGCCGAGCTCGGTAGCATCCGGAATGTCGACTCGGAAGACAAGATGGGTCACCTGCATCGGAGGCTCAACAATCGCCAAATCCAGCTCATCGCAGCAGGTGGATCCATTGGAACGGCACTCTTCATTAGCATCGGCGGTGGTCTCGCCAAAGGTGGTCCCGGCAGCTTGCTGATTGCTTACACCATTTACACCCTGATTCTCGCTCTCGTCAACAATTCTGTTGCTGAGATGAACACGTATATGCCCGTCGCAGGTGGCTTTGTCCGTCTCGCTGGGTATTGGGTCGATGACGCACTTGGATTTCTTGCTGGATGGAACTTTTTCCTCTACGAAGCCATCTTGATTCCCTTTGAGATTACTGCTCTCAACATCGTCATTTCGTTTTGGAGTGACGAGGTCGTTAAACCAGGACCGACAGCGGGGATTTGTGCTGCTGTGATCATTCTTTATGGGTAAGAAAAACGTTCTAATTTGCAGGCCCCCTCTGCTTCTATCTCTTACCCCCTTTTATGAAGGGGAGACCTGCTGAAAACATAAACGCAATGTAACACTTACCTTTGTCCACAGGTTGATCAACGTTCTAGCGGTACGGGGTTATGGCGAAGCTGAGTTCTGGCTTTCCGGAGGCAAGCTGATATTGATCTTCATGCTTTTCGCTTTCACATTTGTGACTATGGTCGGCGGCAACCCTCAACGTGATGCATACGGCTTCCGCCACTTTACAAACCCCGGCTCATTTGCAACATATCTATCGGGCGGCGACCTGGGTCGTTTCGAAGGGTTTCTCGCCGCACTTTTCAGTGCCTCCTTCACCGTCGTCGGTCCTGAGTACATCTCCATGGTATCTGCTGAAGCCCAACGCCCAAGCATCTATATCAAATCAGCATTCATTACCGTCTACTACCGGTTCTGTATCTTCTTCATCATTGGCGCACTGGCTGTTGGCATCGTAGTTCCGTACAATCACCCGACCCTAGTCGATCTCTACTTTGGGGACGGTGGTGGCGGTACTGCTGCGGCTTCTCCGTATGTGATTGCCATGGAGACCCTCGGCATTGGCGTGCTTCCTCACATCGTTAACGCACTCATCCTTACATCTATCTTCTCGGCTGGCAATACCTACACCTACTGTGCCACTAGAGCGCTCTACTCGCTATCCCTCGAAGGACGAGCGCCTCGTTTCCTACGTCGCTGTAACAAGAATGGAACTCCCATTTACTGTTTTGCCATTGTTATGCTATTCCCGATGCTGTCTTTCCTCCAAGTTAGCAGCAGTTCTGCCGTTGTTATTACGTGGCTGACTGCGCTTATCACGGGAGGCGGGCTGATCAGCTTCATCATCATGTCGATCACGTTTATCAACTATCATAAGGCCTGTGTCGCTCAGGGAGTTGACCGCAAAACCCGACCCTACTATGGATATTTCCAGCCTTACGGTGCATATATTGCTTTGGGATTTCAGCTACTCATTCTCTTGGTGTACGGTTACTACGCGTTCCGCCCATGGTCAGTAGAGCTGTTCTTCCAGAGCTACACTATGCAGATACTAGCTGTCGTTCTGTTTTGTGGATGGAAGCTTTTTAAGAAGACCAGATACATAAGACCTCACGAGGTCGATCTTGTTTGGGAGCGGCCTTTGATCGAAGCCTATGAAGATTCCCTGGTTGATCCGCCAGTTGGCTTTTGGACTGAAATGGCGCAAATGATTGGACTCAGAAGAAACAAAGTAGGCTTTCGTTAATCCCTCTATGGACCAAGAGAAGCTGACATTGTAAGGTTTAATAACCCTCTCTCACAACAAATTTCGTACAAGATACCTTAACGTACTAAGACCCCATATATTAATTCATTCATGCTTTTGCCATCGGCTTGGAAAAGCTTGTAGCACTTTGAGCTGATACTGATTGTGTCGTTCGCTATGCGCATGACTTTGCTCTACTGGCCTGCCACGCCTGATTGGCCGTGAGCCTGGAAAAGAGGGTGGCAGGGGATATTGCTCAGATGGAGCACAACCCAGAGACCACAAGATCCACAGAAACTGACTAGAATCTGAAAAGAGAATTGGCATAGAAAGACTCACCATTGCAGTTCTTAAGGACAAAGCAGAGTGCTGGCCGGAGAGTCCCACTTTACGTGGCCGTCATGAACTGTATAACAATCTTTCATCTGTTATTAAAGGCCATTAGACACTCCAAGCAGATTTGAAGGATGCGCGAGGTGGCTGCGATTCGAGATTCCCCTATCTGACCGCTTCCAAATCCCGATGTAAATGATGTCTATCTTGAGAGTCAGATCCACATTTCCAGGCTCTCAGCAGCACAGCGTACGCTGTAACTTGCTGCAAAACCAGGATCGAGACTTTGCGTCGCCACGATTATAACTGGGAAGCTTAGAATTGAGATGAGCAAAAACTAGTGGCTGGTCATTCTCTACATATAAGGTATCGTTCATCGATGACGGCATCTACTACGTAAGTGATCACACAGCCGGCGCCGAGTAAAGCTTGCACATTCCCAGAGTGTATACGTACCTAGACAGCCCCAGGCAATACAAACAAAGAGGAGCTGGGACTTGATATTAGAAAGGCCAATCGACGAGAAGTACACGTTCACAAAACAAGCCTGTTCATCATCTATCTTCTTAATTTCCGCGGTATGATCAGTACTAGTCTGTGGATCAAATTGGGTTTATGACCTTCCATTTTCGCCCCCGAACTGCTACGCAGGATCCTCAATTTGTCGTACAGGCTCGCCAGAATTGTTTTAGCGCCATGTCGATTTTGGAGAGCAGGTTGGTGGAAGATAAGGTTATATTAAAGCCCGGCGACGATCCTAGATGGCTCGCCGGAAACATAGTCTTGGAACGGCAGTTGAGCTTGACGCCTGCGGGGAAATGGGTTAAATATGTCACAATTGAGGGGCCTTTCTCGGGCCAAGTATCTCTATTGGGCGCTCGGTGTCATACTCGCCGGGTGATTCAAATCCGGGACCTTTCCCATGTGCGTCGAATCACACCATCCAGGGATGCGAAGCGAGGCTAGCATTGTCGCCAGTCCACGGCACCGAAATCTGCAAATCAGCTTTTCCTTACGAAAAACTACCTGGGACTCTTGCAATCAAGTCCGAGATGAGAGCCGAGCCCGCAAAACTGAAGAGGTATAAGAAGATGTCATTTTCACTCTTCCGAGTGGCGCTCATAACCACACAACTTGGGGTCACTCCTCCTTCTTGTAGAGCATCGGTCAACATACACTGCCAATCATTGGAGAGAAACTTTGTCACAAACTTACCACCATGAAGCTGTCTCTTCTCATGACAGCTGCAACTTACGCCGCAGCTGTGCAGAGCGCAATCACTTGGAGCCTCGAGAAGGCCGCAAGCCCTACGGCGGATCAGACAGACGCCTATAACAAAATCGAAGCTGCAATGCGTCTTGCTGTTGCCCGTCATTCTCGCCTCGGAAGCGCAACAAAGAACTTGCGCGTTTACTATACTCCTGGCGTACCAACTGCGGAGGCAAATTACAACGGCGACGTCAGATTTGGCTCAAACCGAGCATATATGAATGAGAGAACGGCCCTTCATGAGGTCTCTCATACTCTGGGAGTTGGTCAAACTGCTGCGTTCGATCGGAAGTGCGCTGCTGGAGATTGGGCCACTGCGCTGCCATTACTACGGTCGTGGGATGGCTCAGGAGCAGTTATCAACTGTGGTGGTTCGCACATTTGGCCTTATGGGCTGAACTACGATACTGAGTGGAGTGAGACAAACGCCAACCGCCATGTCCAACTCATAAATGCTATGATACGGGATGGCATGTAGCTGGTGTTAGCGTATTTGACGAAGGAGTTTGGTCTAAACTGTCGAAGACATCCTTGTCTGCAGCTATCGTTTTCTTCGCCGACGCGTCTTGTATCATTGGATTTTCTGGGGCTTAGTATGAAATCCAAGTGACATTAGAATCAAATGACCGAATATTCTACCTATTTACTCGATCGAAAATGAGCTATGGCTATGGGTCAACAGTATTAACAAGTGCAATCAGGCGTTCTGAGGCACGGGAAATTAGATCAATGATGCCTTTGTTCTCTGTATTTGCATTTTTCAAATTACCTAGTCACGCACAGAAGTAGAATAAGAGATTAGCCTCCTACTGATAACGGGGAATAAGCTGCGTCAGCCCTTGAACAAGGAGTATACTTCTAGCTATTCTAGTTTCAATATTTGCACTGCCTATCGCGAAAAAGCCATCGATATACTCCAAAAAATCATTATTCCCGTGTATGTTGTGCGTATTACTAGGCCGTAAACCCCATTTAGAATGTAAGTTCCAAACATCATATACACCTCCTCCAAAATACCTCAAGCTATGCAATCCTCTGCCTCGTCCCACACCTTACTTGACTTGTCCAGACAGTCAAATAGCTTCCTTACATGATGAGCAAACGAGCTTCAGGGAGCTGAGAAGCCCAGCGAAGTCCAAAGAGCTGACGATCCCAGATTCTTTCTAGATGATTAAGAGCCTTTAAGATGTTCTCAAAACGACTCTTCTGGTGACATTCACGTAGAGTGATTCTGAAAAAGTCCTTATGCTCATCCGTCATGCATCCTGAAGCTGCCACAAAGAATGCCCAAACCAACACTTCTCTTCCTGGTGAGTCAGCGGGGAATGATTGGAAAGTTTCGATAAACAATTGCACTCTCTCGACAGATTTCTTCATGTGATTATCAAGACTGATTACGGCAGACTGTGATATCATCACATTAGTACCTGCTCTGTGGAGATAGATATTGTGCGACTGCTGAACTAGATTCATAATGCGCGATACTGTCTCCGAATGCTCTGGTCGCTGCTGCGAGCAGTATTTCATGCATTCGAATGCTCTAGTGACTTGCTTTCGTGAAGATAGAGTCAGAATGCCACTCTCCTCGCTCAGAAGAGGAGCTGAATATACGCGTAATCTGCCAGGCCACAAATTAGTTCACCGTTCAAAAGGGAAACTTCCGGCTGTGCCACCGAGCACCTGGTCTCCCTACCTTACCACAAGATAATCGAATCTAAGTCACTTACTTGTAAACCTGGCGCATTATAAAGGCTGAAAGCTCATCGTGTCCCAGACAGTCTTCTCCACCAATAGTTGCCAGTGCAGATTCTAGGAGACGAAACAACATCGGGAAGTCATCCGATCCTGTCACCATGGCGGAAACAAGTAGGACAAGTATGACGACTAATGTGCGAATCTTACTTGAACGATCATGGGCTTCGAGGTCACGTCGTCTTCCTAGATCATGAATTGTTGTTGCGTATAGCTGCATCGGAACCACCGACGTGTTGTGTAGCCTTGACCTTGTGACCTGGTGCGTGTTGCCCTCAGACTCGGCCGTACGTCTTTGATTACTTAAATGAAACGAAGAAACGGCGAGCACGGATTTCAATACTAAGGGATCCATATGAGCGATAGGTAGAACAAGGTGGCGCCAGCCGTTATGGTGACCATCCGCGGCCACCATTTCTACCGCAATGTGGGCTGAGACTGAAGATGTCATTGTTAGCAGCGCGTTATAGTTACAGAAAGAATATCATGTCATTACAATACGACAGCAAATGAGTCTCCCAAGGGGTCAAGTTGCTTGAGGTTGGTTGATGAGTGAAACAGCGGGTGGCACCGGCTTCCATCTCGGACCATAGAGTAGCAGGCCTGTCTAAACTCTCGAGAATAATATTACGAACGGTGCTTTCATGCCGTTCGGAGGGCACAATAGTAGCACCGTCGGACTCTACGTGAGCTGGCCCAGCTGAATTCTCGCACATCATTAGCTGGTGGGAATAATCCAGAGTAGACGGTAACTGGTCCCAGACCTTGTGCCATGCCGACCGGACCTGAAGTCGGGGAGAAGTGCCTTTTTCTTGTTGTGCGCCATATTTGTACACTATGGTAGCCCCGTTCGTGGTCTCGTGGTCTTTTGAGTGGTTACTTCCCAACATTCTCAGCCAACGACATTGCGTGTTTGCACTCACTGTTCGTAGGCTTGCTGAACGGTTTTGCCTCTCCAAAAGCCTCGCGATGCCGCCCCATCGCTGAATCGATGTCGAACCCCTAGACCGCTGCACTTTAACCCTTTCCCGGAGCACTTCTCACATTCAGGCTCCGCGCGATCGCAGCTGATCCGACGCTTCGAGCATTCGTAGCAACCTGCCGCCGATATCGATCAGTTTCAAGGAGCTAGATGGGTATTATAAGACGGCGAATCTGGAAGAAGTACCGACCTCTTATCTTAGGTCGATAGGGCCGGGGCTTGCGGGATACCATTCTGAGTTAGGTTGCTCAACTGAAGCATTATTGAGGCTGAGTCATGCAAAGGCGAGATACAATAGATCATACGTGGGATCTTAGACATGAATAGTCTCCTTAATTGTTGCTCAGGTGGCGACTTCTTCTCTCGAAATCAGTTGTTTGAGGAGAAACTGCGTTGGGCGGCTTCATGCTCGATGTTTCTTGGGACTCAACGCCACTCGCCTCCTTCAATGAGACCCGAGATCCCAGGCTAGCCAGGCTAGTCCTTAAAAAGGAGGTTAAGTGAGACCAACGTTAGGAAACAAAGGGAACCCACCCGCCCGCATGTGAATCGATTCCGTAATAATTACCCCGCACCTTCTCATTACCGAACTTCAGGAGATTAGTCGAAGGACGCCGGAAACATGTCAATTTAGGTCCACGAGACGACCTAAAGATCTGTATGAGATCCTTCACTACGACTGTGGATGGCTAAGTGGTATTCTGCATGTCGCCTCATGCCGCTAGCTGTAGCTCCTGAGCGATGGCCACAATGTAGTCAGAATATAAATCAATGGTATCAGATCAAGTGCTTGTTCCAATCGTCAAATTATGGTAGCCTACTTAGTTGACCGGTGTGCTGGGTGCCCCGATTCCCCCTCTTATCGAGACTATGCCTCTGCACAAGGTAATAGACGGAACCAGAACCCTGTAAATGTAAGTGCTAGAAAATTGCATGAGATGAGTTGAGATGAGCGGTTCCATGTTCTAGGTACACTGGGACCTATGTCACCCACTATCAGTGGCTACATTGATAAGAACCGTACGGGGTGGTATCACATCAAGCCGATTCCCTATGTAGGTAGACTGTCAATAGGTGTGTGACACAGGGAAGAAGCTCACAGAGGCCAACTGCTGTTAGGGTCTAGAAGATGAATTACTGAAATCTGCCCTTCCCTCGAGGTGTACTACCAGCGCTCTATATATGCCTGAGCTGCTCCTTTGTTGCTTGGTCCCCCTCCTCATGCCCCTTAAGCTATCCCTTAACCGGCGAGGCCTGACAGTAGCCAAGCGTTTATGATCCTAGCTCATAATGTCAAATATCACGTTCGGGGATGAAACTGAAAAAGACTTATGAGATCTATTGGAAATTGTATCATCGCTTGTAAATTGAATGCGATGCTCATATTGAATGTTTCGTGCGCTTTTCGAACGCACAATTTGATTGGTCGTATTCATTGCGAGTGGAAAGTGAAATGATCAATGATTCAGCTGTCGTGCTTCCCTATGCATGGCGCTGTTGGATAATACTGACTGCATGTCCCCTTTGACGAAGTATTTCTTAAAAGTCTCAGCTGATTTCTAGAAGTTTCCCAATATAACAGCCGCATCAAGTTTAAGGTCTATCGTAGCATACATCATTTGTGGCTGAAGCAATGTCGGTATCGCTTGACGTACCTTAAATCCGAATGGCTGATCGGTGCGCTACGGCATATCCAACAGTGTGAACACAACAGCTTATCGTGCTCCTACAGCACGCGAGACTAAGTGAATACGCCATTTTTATTGACCACAAAATAACGGAATCTCTCGTAAGTTTACATGGGTTCAATTGGTAATAGAACCAAGGGAACGACAAAGTCTAAGAAAAAAAGAAGGAAAGAGACGAAGTGAAGTGAATAAGTGCTTCTCAACGGCCACTCTTATCTAGGTATTACTTTCTACTAAGATCCACTCGTGATCGAGAGCAAGAGAGAGGAGTATTTGGATTATTCGCCCAAGAAAGTTGACAAAATGCAAAACAAAGTGCACGCGGCACAGACAGACAACTGCATGATCTCTGGTTTAGTAATATTCCTCTAGGGCGACCACCTGATGGCCGCATCAAAAGCGAAGCTTATTAATGCGCACACTATGGTGTGAGCTGCTAATCTATGCTGCTAATTTAACTCGCTAATCTAGTCTGCCATAGTGATGAGTTTGTCACCTAAGCACAATCGCATTACTACATATTTATGCTCTCTTGTGTGAGGTTCTACTGTTGCCCGAACTCCCTTGCGTCAAACTCGCGCCAAGGTGGACAGGAGATCATCGTTCACCAAGGTGAGGCATCATTGTCGATGCCATTGGCCCCTGCCCTGTGCAAGAAGTCTCGGGGGCGAAAGCAGCTCCGCTTGAGAAACTCGAGAACATACTGTCGATCTCATACATAGGTGCTGTGACTAAAGAGGCGTTCAAAATCGTAGGCTGCCTTCTCCCGTCAGTAGCCAGCAGGAACGGCGGCCCGCCAACCCGGCTGCGACGTTCGAGGGACTGTTTTCTCACAGGGATGTACAAAGAAAGAAGGCAGGATATGAGTGGCCTTGAATGCCTCGTGATCGACTCAAGGCTGGCTGGATTCGCGAGTGAGAGGTCTTCCGAGTGTTGGTGATGTCATATGGACAGTCAAAACCCCAAACAGCCGAGCCTACGTGCTCTCAGTAGCCCTCCGTGATCTACGCGGGCATCGTATGAGAATTGACAGTGAATTACGGTGACCGGTCGAGGTCGGTATCGCACTCGTCGCCTCCGAACCTTGGCGCAAATCAACGCACACCGGCTTGGGTTGAAGAAATGCCAAGCCAAGTCTGCATCATGTCTTCTGCTAACCTCTAGATGCGGAGCATTCGGGTAGATCTCTCAAGCCATGGGGACCAGACCCTATAGCTAGCTACGGGCAGACATTGGCTTTGGGTCTCGGTGACACCTCTAAAACATTGCCGTACATTGCCGTACATTGCGAATGTTCGGCGAATGAATACAGAACTGGCTTCGATGCACCCATGGCAGTCTCGAGAGGTCCCTTGATCCTGCAATTGGCCACCGCCTGATTGTTCCTGGCAGTGCACCCTCAGAGAGCCAGCGTCGTGGGACGCATTGTAAGCCAAGTGGATGATGGAGGATAACGAATAATAGAGTCGACAGAGTGGCAAGATCTGTCTCTCACGCTGCCTTGACCGAGTCCTTATAGGTAGGTTGCCGGAGGTTGCTGGACAAGAACTTGCAGAGACTGGATAATTGTACTAGTCTGCTACCTTGATCTTGGATCCAGCTAAGACCAGTCTTCAGGTGTTGAGAGCCTTCTTTCTGAAACGCTCGGCTTGTGATAGATCATGCCGGAATGAACCCCATCTAGATTCGATAGGTGGGCGTTCTAGCTGACTGGCCGACAACCGCTAGATACGCCACTCAAATTGGTGCGTTGACCGACTGGCCCAGAGCAGATAGAGGCCAAGAGGAGAGGCGAGATAGGCCATTCAGTGTAGATGACGTCACGAGAATGATGAGTTGTCTTGCTGTCTCACCCGGCGGCAGACTCGCTGCCGTGCCCATCCCTATTTGACTGCAGAGAAGGGACGTTAGATTTCGGTCGGCGGCCTCTCTTAACCTTGTGACGTTGCGCATTGCCCAAGACATCATTTGGTGAAGCTTCCCGAGTACTAAGAATCGTATTAGCTACATATAGGCGCCCGGACAGAAATCATGGTTATCATGAACGACTTACTCCTTGTCCTTCAATCTTCGGCGTTTGATCATCTGTAGAGCCTCCTTACGCATGTTACACGAAAAATGCTCATTGAAATCGAGGGTGATGAGTTCCCACATGCAGTGGCGTTTGGTGTGTCGGTAATGATCAAGGAGGAAGAAGAGATACTCTTCCTGATCCTGGCGTCTGGCGTTGGCACTAACGCTGGGCACGGAACGGTCCGACGCCTGTTGGGTGCTGGCATGACTCGGAGAAATATAGCCCAAGCAATGGATGCCCATGCGTGAGCAGTTTTGGCCTGTTGAGCTTGTCAGACGGAGACTCGGACCACGAAAGCCATTGATCGACGAATAGACGCGACTAATTCAGCGAGGTACAAACTTACATGAGGGACGCCCCTCATCACAAGGCATCTTACGAATTTGACAGGTCTTGCAGCCAGGCTCCGCGTGCTGGGGTTGAGAGGTCTGCAATTGAGGCCTCGTAGTCATGACGACGTGAGAGGGATTCGGACGAGCGACAAATGTCAGGGGCTCCAAGGAATCCGACGTTGGAGAGGCGGGCATGGAACTCGAGGCGGGAGGGTTAAGTACATCAGCAAGATGGGGGGGCGTAGGGGGGTGACTCGAGCGCGACGAAGACATGTTCACATCGTCATCCGGGTCGCACAGCACATTCTGAAGGTCCATGACGGAACAGCGGCTGGGCTTGGGATCGGAACGCGGGGTAAGAGTGGCATAGCCATGGCTGGCATTGCTAACGAAGCTTGAATTACTGTGATTTCTGTCGTGGTTGCTGCCGCCGAGGACGCCGAAGGTGGCGGGATGCGAGGGTGTTGGCGAGGGCGATGGAGGAAATCTGAGCGCGTCATGACGGGAGGCTGCAGCGGCTGCAGCGGGAGGACCCGGCGTGGAAGCCGAAGGCACACCCGACAGCGGAGCCGGAGCTGGACCGGCAGCCAGGCGGCGGTAGTAGGTTGGCGGCGGCGGATGGTTGACAGAGAAGGAATAAGGTTCGAGGCGGCCGGTAGCGTGGGCGGTGTCATGGCGCGACGGGCGAGCCAGCGGCAACGACATGGACGGGACTGAGGGCGGAGGAAGTGGAGGCGGAGGAGCAGGAGGAGGCTGAAGAATCTCTGAGGGTGAAGAAACAACAGCAGCACCAGCAGCACCAGCCGCGGCAACGACCGGCCGGTTGTCGGCTGCGACGGTGACGGCAACGGCGACGGCTTTGGCGTTGGCGTTGGCGTTGGCGGGCATCCGCATCGTGTCTCACTTCCAGTTCCAACAGTCCACGTCCGCGTCCACACACTGCACACTTCCGCCGGGTGCGCGAGCGGGCGAGTAAGGGGAAAACCCAAGGAGGCGGAGACGAGACGGGATGGCGTTTGACACGTGGAGGAGGCTCCAACTTTCAGCCTCTTTCAAGCAAGGCGAAGCAAAGGCAGAGCAGAGCAGAGCAAAGCAGAGCAGAGCAGAGCAAAGCAGAGCAGAGCAGAGCAAAGCAACCATAATTACCTTGCTGTATTCGTACCCGTACGTACTCCGTACAGTAATTAAGCTAAGGCATCCGTAAGCTAAGCGCCCACTCACTCCTTTCGCATGAGCCTGGCTGCGCTCGCTTGGCTTCGCCTCGCCTCACCTCGCCTCCTCTGCAAGTCCAGTCTCCTCTCCTCTTCTCTCTTGTTCCTTCTCTCTCTCCTCTCCATGTGTCTTTCCTCAGCGGTAACCAGTTGCCAGGACTGGACTGGACTGAACTGGATTGGACTGGGCTGGACTGGACTGGAGCAATAGACGGAGACATGGGCTTGTCGAATGTGGGCTCGAGGATAGGCTAGGGCCGGAGACTGTGACGAGGGGCGGAGCACCATCAATCACCAACACCACCACTACCACCACCGCCAGTTGGCAGTTACCTTGGGTATTGGCCGGTGCTCTTTTAGATAGATCATAGACGGTGAAAAGTCGGGGCTATGGACATCTTTCTAAAATGTGCTTCAGTTTCCGTAACCTGTGAGCCCTAACTCCAGTCTGTAGCTGTACGTATCATTCACTACTGGCTCTCCGTATGTACGAAGCAGCTTTGACTCTTGTGCCTTGTTTGGCGGCTACCATAGTAGTAATAGCGTGGACAGGAAGAAATGACATGGATGATGCAGCGTGGCATGACGGCTCACGGCGGTCTGGACGCGTCCTTCTCCACCTCTCACCTCCCCTACACGAGGTACGTACAGCAAGAAGATCCACTCTCGGTCCTAATGGCAGGGATTTCCCCCAATCAAAGTCCGGGCGGTTACGAGCCACTCAGTCTGCTGACGAAAACGACTTCTCATTGGCTTCCCTAATTCGGTCCATTTCGGCCAGGTCCGCTCAACGGCTAATTTGCGGCTTCCCGCCGTTGTCACCCTGATGAGAAGCCTGGAGTCACCTTTCCTACCTTACCGTGAGTGTGTACGGAGTAGGCATGTGCTCCGTGCCTTTCTCAGGCAGGTACGTTCCTTACCTTTCTGCTTCGTGGCGGTGGGTACGTAGCTTGGGCGCCTTAGGTGCAATGGACTTAACAGTTCCTCTCTTCTTGTTCCTGTCAGTCTCACTCTCAAGTCTCACCCTCAAATTTCACTCCCAAATCTCACTCTCAGATCTCGCTCTCCACTTCAGTCCCGCCTATGCAGTCCTGGCAATACCTATCTCACCTTGTGCTTGTGGCTCTTTCCCTTCCCTGTACCATTCGCCACCCCCTTCCCCCTCCTCTCTGTCTCCTCGTTTCCCTCAAGACTCGGAACTTTTCACTCACGTGATTATGTACAGTCCTGGGAATGGATACTCCGTACCAGCCCCCTCCTTCAGCCCACACCTTCAGCCCACAAAGGCCATATCGCGGTTGTTTGGTGAAGTAACTTGGCGCAAAGACACATGAACATCTTCTTAAAAGAAAGCCAAGCCTTCTCTTCCGAAGAACGATTCCTGTCCATGGGGTTTTCAGTTTGCTCTCTACGAATAGTGGATGGAACTTCATCCATTTCGCATGGGCGTTATCTCCATGACCCCGTCTCTGAACCAGAATAAAGGGACTGCTCTGCATGCCCCTTGCATCCAACCATGTACATATTCTCACTTGATTGAGACCAACAGGCATGGTCGCTTTTAAGGTTAAATCCTGCCTGCCCCCCCCCCCCCCCCCCCCCCCCCCCCACCACCCCAACCCTAAAAAAGGTCGCTTCGCCCCCCTCCCCCCACCCACTTTTAATTTCTCCCTTTTTTTGGCAACCACAGCGCGGTGCTTTTTTTAGGTTAAACCCCCCCCCCCCCCCCCCCCCCCCCCCTTTGACACAATCACAGGGGAGCCCCGCGCGTTTGCATCATGGCTACCTGATGGATGAACTTTTTGACACTTTGCCTCCTGATTCTCATGCGGGTCTACTACGCCGTAATCCGCTGGTTAAGGCACATACCAATCGCTAGCAATGGCATCCAGAACCCGCGCTTGAAAGCATACATAGGTAGTATCTACCTGGGTGAAGTGAGACAGCGGAATGTAAGAGATTTTTGTTCCTTAGAGCCGAATGCAAGTGACGGCCGTGAGGCTGACAGTTGTGCAGCTGCCGCCCTCACTTGGGTTGTGATTGCTTTTCACCAACACGCACGTTGGCAATGACATGCATTCAGATACGATTACAAACCACTTTCTACTACGTTACATCGAGATATGCGCCCGGGTTTGCTTCCCGTGCCACAGCTAGGATAGTATGACAAACGTAATGTTATTCGAGACTGCCATCAAATAGTATTACTCCTCCGATGTCCTTACCCATGAACGAAACTTTGACCCAGAACTCATGTCTACAGGACACGAGTCGTCAACAATATTGCTTTTCTAGGATTCTCATGGCGAGATCAGCCTCATATTCATGGCTTAAACAAATTGAAAAAGATTGCACGCCCTAGCCTTTCTGCTACTCGATGTCGAATAACTTTCGAGGCAACCACTTGAAAGAGTCTCATCAGCCACGCATGATTCAGAGCTTCGCAAAGCAGCGTTTAGGAATCAGGTTTCCCACGTCTAAGTAGAGGAATACTTAAGTGAGTCAGTGTCCTTCTTCATAGAGTAGTCGAGAATTCATGCTGAGATCCCAATAACTACAGTCTACCTATAAGTACAAACAGTAGACGGGACTAGGTTCAACACAGCTCAAGCAAAGTGCCGCAGAGATGAGCAACGTCATGTGATTGAGCCAACTATAGCTCTGAAAAGGGAGAGAGTATTGCATTCTATACGCCGCCCTTCTGGCATAATATGATTGGAAGCACGGCTTTCTTTTCTTCAGAATCATACACGAGAATGATCTTCACCAAAGCCGCAGTACCTTCACTAGGCTAGCTATGATGTCACGTACAGTATGCCACCGCTGTTGTCAAATGCTCGGTACCTTTTCTGGGGCAATTCTCTTCTGAATTTCCTTGCTATCACTCATTGGAACCCCAGACACAACTTCCGACACAGGAGTCCCAGCCTCTGCGTCTTGAGATACTGGCTGGGCGAACTTTTCGAGAGTGTGTTTGTCAAGCTAGACATATGTTAGCATGTATCGAGATTTCTGGCCTTTTGTAGTCTAACTCACTTTCCAAACTGCCCACATGTAGCCAAGCATGACGAAGCAGCAAACTATCATGACTATGCACCCTTTCCGCCAGTATGGTGCTTCATCGGCAGAATAAAACACGATGCCCCAGAACGTATAGAGAGTCAAGCTCCCAACGTTCATGCAATAAACCGTGACGCTGCGCACAGCGTCATCGCCACTCCTCTGAAGGATGATACTTGCCCACCCAAAAATGAGAGGGTTGACCATATAAGCAGTACCGGAAAGATAAAAAGCAAAGAATGTGCCAGCAAAAGGAATATTGGGTATGATAAGTAAGATGGCACAGACTAGCTGTAGAACGATGGCCAGAGTAGCCATGGGGATGCGAGTGCCAGTTACATCCATATGCCAAGCAGCAAACATGTTCGAAACAATCCCAACAGCTTGAACCCCGAGAGGATACGTGTTGATCTGGGTCTGTGAGAAGTGGGACGATTGATACTTGAGCCAAATGAGAAAGTTGTTTTGAACTGCCCAAGCTTCCAAGGTGGCGCATACTGGAGACCAAAATAAGAGAATCCAGCTTATGCAGTGTCAGCTGAATTCAAATTGCAATGGCGCTTACAAAGCTTACAAAGTGGGTGACATAGCCAATCGTTTCATCAGTGATATGGGACTGATACTATGCCCTCCTTCTTTAATAGGCGGGAGGCGGCTGACCGCCAGCTTCTTCTCTGAGTCACTCAAGTACAATGCCTGAGTGTTCTCTGGAATATCAGGAAAGTAGTAAAAACCGAAGAATGCGACTGGAAGAGTGATAATGCCATCTTGGAGCCACTTAGCGAGCTTCACTTTGACTTTGATGGAAGTATCTTACCAATGAGGAACACCCACTGCCAGCCTCCGAGGCCACCTAGTCCACCCATGCCTTTGTAGATGGCTGCCATCATAACTCCAGCGAACATGGTCCCGACTTGACCAGAAGCAGTGAAAATGGCCGTTCTCTTTGCAATTTCGCTAGGGGTATACCATGATCCAATGATGTAAATAGTCCCTGCATAAGTGCTAGCTTCAGCTAATCCAAGGAAAAACCGAACGACACACAGTTGTGTTACGGTCTTGACTGTAGCGCTGATCATGGTCAACCTTTTATTGACATCAGCTTCTAATTTTCGAAGTTCCACGTGTAAAATTTGAGTGAGATGCTTCAGGTTGTCACTTACGCAGCCCAAACTACAACCATCGACGGAAGCCAGATTCTTGGCGGGACCTTTTGAATAATCAGCCCGTGAGGGATTTGACCAATCGCCATGCTTCCGTAATGTTAGTTACTGCCAGATGCTATCGCCAATGCCATGTTGTCATGAAGTAACTTACCCAGCAGTTGTGACCGAAAGAACAGTGTTGTAATCATGTCCTGACATGTGAAGAGCCTCGCGCAGCCCGGCAACCTGTCAAACAATTCAGTACACCTTGGAGAGATCAGGAAGACGTCTTTGACTTACATAGGCGTTGGCAAAGGCGGCTCGATCCGTAGGCAAGTAAGTACAACGGAAGATTATCTCTAAGAATGGTTGACTTGACAAGCGAACGTACCTAGAAAGTTGAAAAAATAACTTAGACAACAGTATGTCTGTCAGGAAGATCAGCAGGCAATCGAAGTCAAGCAAGCAAGCTTCCTAGCAAATACCAAAATAAAAAAGTCTGATAAATCAGTCAGATATCAAGTAGCAGCCAGAGAACGCATGGAGCGGAAGATTTCGACTCACCGATTTTCTGTACGAGTCGTCTTTCTTCCTTAGTTTTGGCCCCTTCTCCAAGGAAGAAAGCTGCAAGACTCCGGTCAGACTGATTCCAAGGTAAGCTCTGCACCGCAGCGCAACGCAACTCACTTCTGACTTTCTCTCCGACGGATCTCTTGTTGGTCAACATGATTTCGGAGGTCTTTATTTTCAGCATTGCTACACTTCGATACTTTTCTGGGGCGTTGACGTGAGTGAAGAATGAAAAAGGGAGTCGACCACATCACAACACGACTTGCGTGGAGATCATATGATTAACCGTGTCCCCGCTATATTGGCCATTATCTTGAAAATCTGATAATTCGCCCCGGGAGGATGCTCGCTGGGGTTTTCTCCGAGATAGCCTTGCCAAGAATTCGATTCGCAGGCGAACGGAAAATCTTGCTGAGGTACCTAGTGATGGCTGACTTCCTGATCTGGAGAACTTGTCGTATAAGCGACCTTTACCGAGCATCACATCCTTGCAATCACAGTCAAGTCGGGATAAATTCGAGTCAGATCCACGGTTTCCACCAGCCGTTTTGACTTATCGGAGAGATGGCCGGGAACACGAGGTGGCCGTTTTCGTGCTCGGCGGAGACCATGCTGACGAGCTTTGCGGCCAAAACTCGTTGGTCAACGATTCATAAACACTACTACCCTGTGTGGATTATAGAAATAGGTTGATGTTTAACCATGTATAATAGTTGGAAATCCTCACCCTGTTTCACTGTTGCTAATTGTTTGGTCAGTGGTGTATGCCTCCTGTCAAATTGACACGAAGAGCAATTTAATCGTTGGTGCGAAAGCTGCCACCTTTTTCTTTTGTTCACTATAAGCACATTGAGTATCTCCACACCTTACGAACCTAAAATCTAAATGTGTGGAGTTTCATCCGAATCTCCGAGCCTCCGAGCCGAGCGGCGAACTTGACCGATCAGCGAACATGGGCAATGTCTTTGGTCTGTGTCGGGGTCTCTTCAAATGAACCAACACACATGCCCCGTAGCTTGTCTTTCTTCAAAAAAAATTCTTTGGGAATATATTTCGTCAGGTGATGCAGCTACTATTACTGCAATACGTGACCATCCCTCTGCGTTGTCATCGCCATTCATACTACATAATTGCTCACTCATTTCCTCTGCAGCGAAGGCTAGGTGATCAATGTATTAGGTAGGTAGGAGGTGGTGCCACAGCTATGATACGGGGAAGCTTGATCATGGCTTGGCAAGCGGAACCGTATGAACTGAACGACCCAACCGGCCAAGTCGCGCCGGGCTGGCGCAATCACTGATAGAAGGGCGCAACCGGCGTTAAACAATGAAACAAACATCACTGACAGAGCCTTGGCTCGGCAGTCCGCTCCAATTTCGTTTGCCTTCCTTTCTCAAAGTGCGAGTCGACGTTTCTTCGACTCCACAGGGATTTTACTAATATCCTGGCATCCCCAACAAAAGTGTTCAATGAATGACATTGCTGTTTTCGCAAGAACATCAACTGGATGCCAATATATGTGCCTTACCGTCATCCTTATACCACCTGCAGACTTAGTCAAGTCCACAAACTTTCGGGGTTGTGGGTAGAGGGAAGTGATGGTGCACAAGCTGCAACATACTGGCGCGCAGGCAAGCCAAACGCCTACCTAGATTATAATAATTTCAACACAGAGTGTCGGAACTACTTTGGAAGATACGTGCAAGTTACATTAGCTCAAGATATATTTTTATCGCTCTATAGCTATCCTTTTTAGCAACTTGAATTAAAGTTTGAGAGAGACATAGACAAGGTCAAATCACTTATATCAATGTTGCTCTTCTCCCTTCGAGTATCACCGGATTTGGGTTAGTTTAGCTAGGAAAGACTACGAATAAATCCCGCCTAGCTACCATATTAAAATCCTACTTTTATTTCGTAAACGACTATAATACTTATAATTCTTATCTAAATATAGTTATTTATACTATATAATTAATATTAAGAACTACCTAACTAGCTAGTAAAAATAGAATATAAAAAAAATATATATAGTTATTTAAGTATAAAGCCTATATTAAGTTATAATAAGATTATTTATTTAGTTTAAAGATTAATTTAAGTAGAATTCTCTTATAATTAAACTTAGTTAGTATATAAAGAAGTTTTTCTTTAATTTAATAAATTAATTATTAAATTACTAATACGTAAGACTGATATGGACTTAATACGACGGTAAAGTAAGTCTTAGAAAATAGAATAGTAATTTTGTAAAATTAAAAGAAGCGTAAAAATGAGAAAATATTTATCTTGGGAGTGTTAGGTTAGGGATTAGCTCCTAAATTAGAAATAATACGAGTTTTATAATAAACGTTTAAGACCGCACCGGCGTCCAACTCACTGAGGCATTATGTTCTATAGAATCTGTATAAAGATTTGTTAATTCATTAGACAAATCCCGAATCTAGCAAGAGTAGTTGAAAGTGAAAACCGGCCAATGTAGATCTGTTCGTGTCAGCTCCACTTGATGAAATTGAGATTCGGGCTTCCCGAAACTTAAGTTTCTGCCACCTTGAACATTATTATTTCTCCTTGGCTCTTTGAAGAGCTATAAGTACTAACCTGGGGATCGATTGTTTCATGAGGACTAAATCTTTCGTGTCCTCACGATATACTATATTGTACTATCTTAGGCTTTCCAGATTTTTCGATTGCATCGCAACCATGGTCCATATATCTTCGATCCTAGTTTCATTCCTTGCCGGTGCTGCTGTCGCCAGTCCGCCACGTGACGTCCTAGGACGTCAGGTTTCTGGAGATAATGCTACTCTTGCCGTCACTGGTATCAGATACACTGGAGAGGGCTGTCCTGTTGGGTCCCTGAGTGGAAATCTCGACCCTAGTGGTAGCTTTGATGTGCTATATGAAGCCTTGAACACCACGATCAGTACGTTTTTCGAGAATAAATGCAAGCGCCTTATACTAACCACTGAATGTCTCTCTCTCAGAGGCTGGAGACCACAAAGTAAAGGTCAAGTGTCAGATCGAAGTCGACATCCAGACAGCTGCTGATAGACAGCTGGTTATTTTGAGGTATGCATCAAGATCTTCACATGGCGACTCTTATGTAGCCAAACGTTTTAGAAATGTTTGACACACTGACAATTCGCAGCGGAACCTATAAGGGACACGTCAGATTGACCGAAGGGGCGTGGGCCAAGAACCAGAACCAATACAAGTTCAAAGGAAGCCGGGGAACTATCAACCTGGAATGGCCCTTCAAAGCACCGATTGATGCTGCAACCGAGTTCACCAACAATCTTTCCACCGAATTCCAGTCTGGTTGCAACTCTAACGGAGGCAAGTTCACTATGATTATCAATAACTACTTGAGCATGAGCAGTGATGGCCCGGGCGAGGGTGAGATCTCTATCACAGAGCTTGATGGTGTCGTCAAACAGTCAACTAAGCTGGCCACTGCGAAGTGCCCGTAGAGGGCATTATTTTCGCGTTCAATCAGAGACAAAGGAAGACTCGTCCACTATGAGCATGACAATCCTTAATACCAGAAACACGGATGTTTCTCTTATTCAATATGGTCAAGATCGATTCTGCATTGAAACAACTAAAGTGGGAAGATTAGCAAAAAGACTGTTTCAACTATAACCCCTGACTTGGCCCTTGTTGTGCAAAGGAGTCTGAGTGCTGTCCAAATTCATGATTTGACTGTGTGCTATGTCTATAGTCTACCGTAGTTGTCTCAGTTCCAGTTAAGGATCTGCCCTCAATGTTCCTACTTGTGGTCATAAAGCTAGGGAATTTTGGTAAGGCAAATGATCTCAACTTTGAGACTTCAAGCATGGGCAGAATATTGCATTAGAACATGAGACCTCGAAGTGGACCTACCAGTCATTGGCTTTGTCCCTCTGGGGTCCAGACCGTGTGAAATACTTATACGGCTGTTTCTGGTATTACGTGATGACTTTTTAATACTTATAGTCCAAGCAAATACTCCGTGGACTACATAATGGCCTTTTGGAGTCAACCTGTACTTTCCTCGATGAAATGAGCGTCGTAACAAAACATTCCTGACATGCATAGGCCGTGAGACTGGTTAAAAAAAGGTTATTCGTGCTGCAAAAGTTGCGGATTAAATAGCGGAGACCTCACTAGAAGGTTTGACGTGGCTAACTAATATGACTTTAGGAAGTGAAGATTTAGCATCTTTTATCTTTCATCTATCCTTCCTGTCCTTTGAATCTACGATTCTCGGCGTCAAGCCTGTGATGATATTAAACCTAATTTTATTCTGCGTGCTTTCTACTGGATCACCTTTCCTGTCTGACAGGTCTTTTAACGGCCACGAATTTCCATGTTCTTCGCAGGATGGAAACAACTCTTCATCACATATAGCACTAGGGTCTCCTTTCGTAATTGAGTTCTATTCATGATTAAGATCCATCACACTATGGTTTCTTTTGTTGGAGGTTACTAGCCGTAGAAAAGCTCAAATTTAGTCGCGAACCCCGGGCTGGTTGGATTGACATCCTTGATGGGATGTAAAATCATGGGCGGCAAGCAAGGTCTGCCGTTGGTTATTTCCCAGTCCCGACCCCCAATATCGGTATCTATATACCCCATCCAATTGTTGTACAACCTAGAAGGAGGCTCAGCACGATAGTACCAAGTAATCCCTTGGTATCTGCGTTCTCTCCCGTACCCCATTGCACTCCCTTGACCACCACTTTCACCTTTTGGCCCAGGGTTGAACCAATGATCAAGAAACTTTCCGTTCCAAGGTCGATCAAACCAAGTGGGATGGGGAGCAAAAACTGCTTTCAGCCCATGGAGAAGTGCAACCGTTTGGGGCGTCATTTCCGAGGCGATGTGGTTACCACGAAGATTTTCGACGTGCATGATATCTAGGAGACGCTTCGATATGCGCGATTGTGTAACAATAGTACATCGTCGAGGTAGCGACGTTGCTGGATGCTGTTGATCTTTGTAACCCCAAATGTGGTCTGCGAAAATCCAGCTACTATTGATCGGGTTGAAAATGGGACCGAGAGTGATCAGATCTGCTTCCTCGTTCACTCCCCAGTCATATTGGTCATCTCGGGGATCTCCAGTAGGTGGCTTCGGTCCGACCGGATTGATGAAGGGTACGCTTGGTGGACCCCAAACCTGGGTACCAGCGGTTTGCTTCTCGACATAGTCGCGGAACTCAGCCCACGTTCCGTGATGATCAGGAATGTAGTAACGCTCATTGCGTTCCCAAAGACCCCTTCGTGGTTGCTTCCTCGCGAATCCCCTCAGACTCTCCAAGAAATCATAGTTATGCCCGACGACCCGTACATCCATCTCCCAATTCCATATATAATCGAATTCGGGATGATCCATGCTAAACTTCTGAACTGATAGCCATTGCGCATGGTGAACACTTTTCTCGTCATCTTCGGTGAGAGCTGTATAGATGTCCCACACGATTTGGTCGTTCCATAGTTTGGTAATTCCGTGGAACTCTCGAGGCACGTGTTCATCTAGAACATGTTGATACGCTGTCTTGTCGCCCTTCAGGTTGACTGAACGGTCGTGAACGTGCAATAGAAGAAAGACTTGGTACTCGCCGCCCGAACGGAGGGAAAGCTCAGAAATCAACGATCTGATAGCTTGTTTATCGTTTTCCGTATATCGTTTGCCAGTGAAAGTGCGAAGAAGAACAGCAGTTCGGGACTCAGTCCCTGCTGATGTTGTTGACAGTTTGTTCGGGACCTCCATGACCCCTCCATCTGCTCTGACCTCTCGTCTCTGAGCGGTCCCGGAAGTTCCATAAACGGTGTCAACGAATGCATTGGGCTTTCCAGTACCAAAACGAGCGGCGTTTTGCTTGACGCAGTTTTCTTGAAGGCTACCCCAATCGACGCTGTCCCAATTTACTGGTAGACTGTTCGCTTTGAGTTGCAATGTGTGGCCGTAAGGTCCCAGTCTACTTTCGCGTTCATAGCAGAGATTGCCGTCCATGTTGAAAATGTCGAAGCTGCCAAAGGACGGCTTCGGAAACTTAGCAGGCCTGCCCTTGAACACAAGTAAGTCCTCCACAAGCTCCCCAGTAGCACCGATACATGGTACATATGGGCGATGTTTCTCCTTCTTCCAATCCTCTCCGTTATAATCGGGATATGGGTTGAAATGGACAGGTCGATGATTTGAATATGGCTGTTCTTCCTCGCTGGATTCTCGTAATCGCGCCGCATGTAGATCTGTTCTGTTGTCTATGTCGACCAGGGAGTTCAAGGTATTGCCATAGATCGCACCACTACCGGGAAGCCTAGTGTCAAAGTCAAGTCAGCTCTGTGTGTGTATACGATGACGGCAGGACGTTTGTACAATACTCACTTCTTAGCCGCGTCGTATTCCCTAGCAAACTGGTCCCGTAGCTTCTGTTCGTGTTCTTCCTCCTTATGCTTCCTTGCTTCTTCTTCCTGTTTCTGCTTCTTTTCGGTCTGCTTTACAGCCTCTGCTTCATGTTTGAGGGCTTCTTCTTCCTTTTTCAATGCTTCCTCCTCCTTCTTCAATGCCTCCGCCTCTTGTTGCAATGCTTCAGCCTCTTGTTTCAAGCTCTCAGCCTCTTGTTCCGATGCCTTTGCCTTTTCTTGTTGCAGTTCTTCGTCTCTGTTCTTGGACAGGTCGATAGGTGAAATGGGCTGCTCGATAGAGGAGACAGGCGGTTGGTCGACAAGGCCCTCGGGAGGAGGTTCGTGTGTAACATCGTGCCAGGAGACAAGCTGCACACTCGATTCGTTTCTCAATTTGAAGCAAAAATGAATGACAATGCCAGCAAAAGCCAGCAAAAGCAAAGTTCTGGGACGAACTCTCGGGGTGACGAAACTTCTAGGAAAGGTCTGTTTGGCCATTTTCGATTTTGCTGACAACCAAGACTGAGACAAAAAGCTAATCACAATCGGATGGAGTTGCAGGACCTATGCGACCAAGAGCTGATTTGATCGTGATTGAACTTTCCCGCCTTCAACATGGGAATGACATGAGACGACAGGCTTACAAATGCCCCAAAGGCCTTTGTTAGACTTTCATTGGAGACGCTGAAATTCGCTCGTCTTTCATTTCAGTCAACCGAGCTGATCCGGAAATGTTATGATTAGAGTTTGAACACAAGTCTGAGCAGAAAGTCAATTAAATGAAGTAAAGCACTTGGCGCATAGATAAACCTTACTGAGATTGACAGCGACACTATGAAACTCAATTTGCTTCAGACCGCCAAGAAACACGACCGCCAGGAGGTCCGGTAATGTCTACTGACTCGGTTCGCCCTGAAAAAAAAAGAGTTTCTGACTACGATAATGCCGGCTTTCGTCTCATTACGATGCCAATCCAAAAATACCACGCCTAGAAGTAGAAGCCAGTTCGTGATTCTGCGAATGGCCATTTCTCGGGGACGAAAAACATCTCGCTACAAAAGATCAGGAACCGCCGACGTTAAGGTACAATCACGATTTAGGAGAACTTCTATGAGTAGATCTCTGATTAGAGTAGGTCTGCAGATGTGATGACAATAGCTCTTGCAGCTAGGTGTCATGTGGAGTGTCAGGGACTTAGAGCACATCGGTGTATGAATGCCCACTTGAGTAATAAGGTTTCTTTCATCTTAATGAAGATACAAATCCATCATTCCCTGCTTTCCGACCTAACAAAGCTTGATAAGAGGCTAAAAAGTGAGGAAACCATAGAACATCAGTCATGGCTTTGAGCGTTTGCAGCACTACCAAAACCGCATCCTGGAATCTCTTCTTAAAGCAGTGTTTGATAGCATGACGGCTTATCACTTTATCAAGATGATCTGATTGGTTAGTTTTATCTCTTTCTTTATTCTCCGTCTGTGAGGAGGGTTGCTGCAGCCCATGACTCTGCCACTTGTTGTGCCTAGATTTAGCCCTATGAGAAGTTTTGGGCGTGAAAGACTATTGTGCTTGCTGCTTTTTGGGTCGAAGTCTACAATGATCTATCTCTATGGCCTAGGTTCATTATTATGAGTAAGGCTTCTACTAGATGTGGTAAGAAGAATAGTTAGATTGACCCTAGGTTACGTATATAAGTTAGTATACTAACCGTGAACTATGTGCATATTCCTGTAGGCCACGCTGTTGTTATTGCTCTTCGGTGCTTTGCTGACTCGATTTTCGTAATAACTTTAGAGGAATTAAGGCGGAATAGTAGATGATTCAACCTGTAGCAGGACTCTTATCTGCCGTACTACCTAAATTGCTTAGCTAATCTTTCTGCCGAAATTTCTGAGCGTCCTAAATAGGTATCTAAGGGGAAAGTACTTGCGTATTTCTTGGGAAGGAAAAGGGAAAGTTTAAATATTTTTGTGATATCTATTTATTATGTGCGTGTATTTTAATGTCTCGACTGATCGTCGACTTGAGACCTTATACTTTAGATCTCGCGTCCCATATTAAGCCCTTCCTTCTCTCTC